TGTCCTCCTCACTCTCGGTTTTTTTATAATTACTAAATGCTAACTTTTAGTTTTTTACTATTTTGGCCAGATCTGCAGAGTACCACAGTGGTTTCTTGAATTTTTTGCTTTTACTGACAAGCCTAATGCAATTTTCTGTTGCCTTCAGTAGTGCAACTTTTAAATAATCCCATTTCTCTTGGACTCCATTTAAATTGCTCCAGTCTGATAATGACTCCTCTACCCATATTCTAATTTTTAAAAAGTCTTTTTTTCTTAAGTCTAAAACTTTTGTTTTTGTGTGGTGTGTAGTACAGTACTACCCATCTGGTCTATTTCTCCTCTTTTTTTGTGTCTTTTGGAGGAACATGATTCAGGAAGTGGTGTGTTGCTGCCCAAAGAGCAAAAAGATTTACTTTACGGAGCCAATACCATATAGGCTCCAGACTATGTGAGTGGGTCTAGTTATTTACTTTTATCATCCATTACCGCTAAAGACCATCTGCACCATATTTCTTGTTTTTTTTTCCATTTTATATGTGATACCACAAGTATTCCAAATTGTGGTTTCACACTAAATTGATGGGGTAAGTGGACACCTTTATCACTTATTATATTTATATAGCACTCCACTAGTTGGTGTATATTTTATAACATATCTTTTAGTATTGTAAATTGATTGTGGAAATACGGGTATTCCACTTTATGTGTTGAGCTGCTTCTCGTTTAGGCACTATAGAGTATCATTCACTATCTCTTGAAAGAGGTTTTTTCTGTTTTTGTTAATGTTGCAGGAAACAGTTTGACTTTTTCTACATTTATCTTTGTGAAGAATTTCCCCTTTTGTACACTATTTCTACCTCTTTGCATTTGGTAGATGTACCTACCAAACAAAGACCACCCCCCTATTGAGGCCTCTGTCTGTGTGGCCAGCGTTCGTACTACCGAACGCCACGTGACAGAAAACCGCGGCCATCTTTGCTCATGCGAACAAAGGCAGCAGGACTTGGTCGTCGAGTGTATGGAACTGAAATCGGACACTCGACGTCCCGAACAACGGTCCCAAACAGACGAACGCTGGAACTCTACTTACCGAATAGCTATAAGAGCGCTATTCTGTACTTTGGTGCATTCGACAGAGGGGAACAATTGCTGCTAAGAGACAGGGGAATCCATTCGGTAGTTTGTTCAGTTTTCTTCTATTTCTAAAGTGACCGGCAAAACCCACTAAACTCATGGAATTGTTTTGGGCATACAGCGCAGGGTGAGCCGGTCACAGAAGACCTCCATAGTTTTTGCAAACCCCTGAACCGATCTGGGTGAAATTCGGATATGTTGGTCACCCAGATCAGGGCTCTCAGGGGACATGTTATTTGTGAGGATACCCCAAGTGTTCCAGTTGTTGGGGAAAAAAAGTGATTTTACAGCCTGGAGATAATTAAGTTATTCGTTTATCAGACTTAATTATTTCCAGAGCTAGGAGAGGAACTGTGGGTGTGTGTTATGGTTTTACAGTATGTGATTGGTGAATGTTTATCCCTCCCTCAGGGCTGTCCCCTTGCATGGGGACTTGCATAAAAGCTGTGTGCACCCATTAAAAGCCAGTTCATTTTGTACCCTTCTTCTTGACTTCGGCTGATGTTTGGGGATTTGTGTGCTTCACTAAGGGAATCATCTTGTGAAGCTATTGGAATTACTATAGGGTTTGTCTACTCTATCTACCGAACGGTGGGCTATAATCACTAAGGCTCTGGCGGTTCGGGAGGAAACTACCGAATGAGGTTTAAATATACTTGGTTTCCTTACAATCTTCTTGTAATCTTCTAGCAGCAAAACCTTTTTAGATATTCAGCCAGTAATAATTCAGACTTAAATCTTGCCCATGCTTTCTCCACCATTAAATGTAGGAAATTAGCTGATCCTGAGATGCTTGTTTGTCACATCAGAGTTCCAATAATTGAATCCGATTGCCTTGCAGTCTTAAAATTTATTTTACTCAAATGTACACGACATCCAAAAATAACAGTCTTTGCACGTATCTGTACAGATACAGCAATATGTATGCACTTCAAGTTAATATCCATTTTTGATGTTACGTATTGGTGGTGAATATCTATCTGCAAAAATATGTCCTATGTCTAAGAAATCAGTTAATTAGGAGGTGTACACATAAGGATAGGGTTATTTAATTCTTTAAAAAAAATGTGTAAAAAGGGTTGAAGCTTAATAACCATTCTGTCCATTCTGCGATTAAAGCCATACATTATAAAAGTGGTTAACTTGTTTTCTTTGTTTTTTACTGTATGTATTAGGGCTGATGTGTACTATGGCCACCCAAGAGTAATGGTAGTTTGAGCACAGGACTTGTGTATTTGTAAAAAGTGGTTATACTTGGGGGTAAAATATAAATTACACATATCATTTACACATATATATGTTTAAATGAATACATTCAGAAAGAGGCCCTTCTTAATACACATGGGAGTCTGGCTGGGTCAAAGGTTATAACAACAGCGGGCCTTCAATCTATGTGAACAAAAACCATATGTGTTGACCATTGATATACAATGGTCATATGTCCGATAATTAATATTAGATGTCTAGGTCTAGGTAGGGCCTACCAGATCCTGTGTATGAAAGAAGTCTGAAATGATATTATTTGCATCCAATACAAGAATAATAAATCATATTACTAAGATAAAAATCCTACGACATCAGATATTTTAAAGCTCATTAAATGTTTTTCAGAAGGCTGAAATTTGACTCCAAATTATGAATGTTTGACTGCCACATTTGCCAAAATTGGTATATTTATTGGTTATACTCATAACCATTGTATGCCCTAAGGGAAAAAAAAAACCTAGAAAATTAGAAATAAACATAACTGTTGCTTGAAGTCTGTATTAACATGGGGGTTGGGGAAACTAGCCTGTCTCTTAGAATGTCCAAGGTTATTGTGTCCTGGGATAAGAATTAAGGACCCCAGGGGATAATTAGCTTAGCCTAATTTATATTCCTCAGTCAGAGCTCTGGTCTCCTATCCCAGTTCATATTTTTATTGGTATAAATAATTTGTAAATACATTTCATATGTGTGCTGTAGTTTTTTAATAAAAGCTGGAGCTCAGAAATAGTGATCCTACAAGTTGCCTTCAAGAATCATGTGTCTTGTCTGTTTGTTGAGGTCTTGGTTGGAATCATACAAATGTCATGCTAAACAACCATTTTCATTGAAATGTATTACCAGTGGAACAGGCTATTTAGTATACTCTGTAACAGCCAGGACATACAACCACAATGTATCCTGGGTTACTGGTGAGTTTGCAACCAAGTGAAGCAGAGTTGGCAATGCAGGTTAGGCACATACCGACAATGACATGGGGGTGCCACAATATCAATGCATCATATGTACATTGACTGTTACTATCAAAGTTACTATTTATTGTGTGAGCATGATAAAACATCACAATACAAGATATTTTATTCCAATGTTAATCCATAGATGCATTATAAAATCACCTCACCTGTGTGAGTTATTTGATGACTGATAAGCTCTGAATTACTAGCAAAACATTTCCCACATATACTACATAAGAAAGGCTTCTCTCCTGTGTGAGTTCTCTGACAACGAACAAGCTGCGCCTTGGTGACAAAACATTTTCCACATTCAGAACATGAGAACGGTTTCTCTCCTGTGTGAGTCCTCTGATGTCTAACAAGTGTTAAATGTTGCCCAAAACATTTTCCACATTCAGAACATGAGAACGGTTTCTCTCCTGTGTGAGTTCTCTGATGTCTAACAAGATGTGAATGTTGCCCAAAACATTTTCCACATTCAGAACATGAGAACGGTTTCTCTCCTGTGTGAGTTCTCTGATGACTGACAAGATTTGAATGTTGCCCAAAACATTTTCCACATTCAGAACATGAGAACGGTTTCTCTCCCGTGTGAGTTCTCTGATGACTGACAAGATTTGAATGTTGCCCAAAACATTTTCCACATTCAGAACATGAGAACGGTTTCTCTCCCGTGTGAGTTCTCTGATGACTGACAAGATCTGTATTAGTAACAAAACATTTTCCACATTCAGAACACGAGAACGGTTTCTCTCCTGTGTGAGTTCTCTGATGACGGACAAGCTCTGCATTAGTGATAAAACATTTTTCACATTCAGAACATGAGAACGGTTTCTCTCCTGTGTGAGTTCTCTGATGACGGACAAGCTCTGCATTAGTGATAAAACATTTTCCACATTCAGAACACGAGAACGGTTTCTCTCCTTTGTGAGTTCTCTGATGATGAACAAGATGCGTTTTGGTGACAAAACATTTTCCACATTCAGAACATGAGAACGGTTTCTCTCCTGTGTGTGTATTCTGATGAATGACAAGAGTTGAATGTTGCCCAAAACATTTTCCACATTCAGAACATGAGAACGGTTTCTCTCCTGTGTGGGTTCTCTGATGACGAACAAGATGCGATTTGGTGACATAACATTTTTCACATTCAGAACATGAGAACAGTTTCTCTTCTGTGTGGGTTCTCTGATGAAGAACAAGATGTATTTTGGAGACAAAACATTTTCCACATTCAGAACATGAGAATGGTTTCTCTCCTGTGTGGGTTCTCTGATGATGAACAAGATGTATTTTGGTGACAAAACATTTTCCACATTCAGAACATGAGAACGGTTTCTCTTCTGTGTGGGTTCTCTGATGAATGACAAGAGTTGAATGTTGCCCAAAACATTTTCCACATTCAGAACATGAGAATGGTTTCTCTCCTGTGTGTGTATTCTGATGAATGACAAGAGTTGAATGTTGCCCAAAACATTTTCCACATTCAGAACATGAGAACGGTTTCTCTCCTGTGTGGGTTCTCTGATGACGAACAAGATGCGATTTGGTGACATAACATTTTCCACATTCAGAACATGAGAATGGTTTCTCTCCTGTGTGTGTATTCTGATGAATGACAAGAGTTGAATGTTGCCCAAAACATTTTCCACATTCAGAACATGAGAACGGTTTCTCTCCTGTGTGGGTTCTCTGATGACGAACAAGATGCGATTTGGTGACAAAACATTTTTCACATTTAGAACACGGGAAAGGTTTGGGATTTATGTTTACGATCTCCTTTGAGAACATATAGGAATCTGAGAAAATGCTTGATTTTTCAGAGTTAGACTCCTTGGTTATGTTATTAAAATATTTCTTCATAGCTTTGCTTCATGTATTTATGTTCTTGTCACCTCTCCAGACAAATACACCTGAAGGAAAGATACTTGGTGTTAAAGGAAATTGATCACAATAAATTATTGTTTGCTATACTTAGAAAAATAGACAATATTTGCATAATATATAAGATATACGACCATCAGGTGTCATGGTGATTGTGAAGAAATCAAGTATTTGTGTGCATTAACCCCTTTACTAGCAAAATTGTGTATACTTTTTTTTTTACTTTAATTTGCTTTGCAAAATTAGATTTAGCCCATAAAGCCTCACGTATCTGCATTTATGCTAGAGGAACAAATTATAGATACTGTGTATATCACATACATTCTAATCACATATTCTAAACACATGCAGCACATAATTTCACTGTTATCCCCCTACCTCTGCCACTGGAAAGTTGTGCCAAGTATGTACTACTATTTTTATATCACTCCAAGCCTCTACCACTTATACTAGAAGGTTGTGCTATTGAAACTGTAGTAGATACCTGGTTTGACCAGTCAGTGGAAATGTAGTGGGAGTTAAAGAAAATGTGTCTATAAATTATCTGTCTTAGAAAAACTGACAATATTTTTATGAAAGACAAGAAATATGACTATGAAATATCATGTTGATTGCGCCAGACCTTAAAAAAAAATATATATATATATTTTAACGGCTACCCAGGGTAGTGAGGGGTATCTGCCGTTGGCAACGTCCTTCCTCCGGGTAAGATGCTTGGCTGTAGGGGAGAGGTGAAGTCCCATCCACTGGATCCCTGGAGCAGTAGCGAGGCAGAGCTCTGAAAAGTGCAAGTGATTAAGCTGCAAATTCCCTTTCATTAACGAGACAGAGCTAGGTTTTGAAGGGTGAAGAAGAAATGACTCCACTGAGTGTTTATTGCTGTTATTATGCAGGATTTTACAGGTTAGACACCACCCACTGGACCTTGTGGGGCACCGACAATACAGTTACAGCAACCAATCATACACAAGATGACAATAGAGCACACGCAGCAGTTACAGCAAATTCCTCCCCTCTGCTTAGGAAATAATTGAGTTAATTAAATGTATCTACTCAATTATCTCCAAGCTGAAAAGTGAAATTTATATATAAAAACGATTACTGAAGGCAAAACAACAGTATATACAACATATATATAAAAGCAGCCATTATACTGGTTAACTGGGGTGTTTTTGTTACACGGTTTATATATATATATATATATATATTTATTTATTTTTATTAAAAAAAAAAGGAAAAAGGACAAACTCTGGCACTCTTCCTTTAAATCAAATAAAAAAAATTATGAAATTGCCCGGGTGCTTCCAAGCCAGTCAATATATCAGATCAATCAGGAGCACTCCATTGGATTTTCAAAATAGTGTTTTTAATCCGGTGTTAATAAATCACAGCATCAACGTTTCGACCCAATAGGGTCTTTATCAAGATAGTAACAACCTCCAAATAGTGCAAATATATACAGAAATAAAAGTAGATCTAACTTACCCCACCTGTGGAGTGATCTCCGCGCTCACCAAGTGCTGCTCAGTAGTGCGCATGCGTAGTGACGTTGTAAGAAATTGATATTCCAAACTGCAATATTGTATATAACTTTCTGTGTATGTGACTGGTTTCACAAGTTGGGGTCATTTACTTGATAACAGTGTGATAAGGATCAAAGCGTTCAGTTGCATTTTACACCACTCAGCTAAGACAAAAGCTTACATCCCTCCAGCAGTTCTCCTGCCAACCAGTTTTAACATCTAGGTGTAACCATGGAAGTGTGTGTTTTCCCAAGCAATCCTTTTCAATCTACCAAGAAACCTAATCAACTGGTCTTTCACGATGTTACAGTATGGCTGGAGGGAAAAGATCAAAGGGAAAGACTTGTGTAAAGACAGAACTCTCTGGAGAAAGAGGGCGGGATAAACCACTTTTGGGAGGGAAAAGGGATTCTGGGACTTGTAGTTTATTACTCCAAGAATCAGTCTTTAAAAGGACAACAACCAAGGAAGGCTCTTTTTTTCTTTCTCTCTCTCTTTGGAGAGGACAACGCAGCAAGCAGGGCCATGGTGAACTGAGAGAGGCTGTCCCAGATTACCCAAGATGAAGGCGCAAGGGGAAGACCTGCATTTAAATGTTTAAGTATTGCCCTTTTATTATGTAGCTTTTTATTATGTACCGGATATAATGTATAATGTATATTGTGTATATCCTTTTAAAATCTAACAGTATCCTTAAATGAATATTTACAATACATTTTATTATACACTTGTGTTTATGTCTTATTTGTCACACATTCCCTAAAAGAATATCCTTGTAAGAGGGTCATAATTTCTTACAAATTGGCGAGCCAGGTAGGTTCTTACAACGTCACTGTATCCGTGCGTCATGACGTGTATGAGTGCGTGCGTAAAGACGTAATCATAGACCCCATAGACGCGGAACGTATCCATGGAAACCCCAGCTGACATAAAAACAAAACAAACGGAGGACCAAGCAACCAAAGACCGGACCACATCATTGGAGATGTCAGTAACCAAGAGCCCAAATACTGTAAAAATACTAATCAACTAGGTGCTGGCATGAAAAAGGTGTAAAAGTAAAAGAGGTTAAGAGCCTATATGAATATAGGCAGAAATATAATGTGAGAAGAAGAAATTGTAAATAAATATAACAGTGTATGTGAATACAATAATAAAAAAATATATAAAAATGTGCACAACAAATAAAATGTGAAAGAGACAATAGAGTAAGATATAGAACACCAAAGCATCCCAAGTATAACCCAAAGAGTAAAATCTGGCCATATAATATACATGTATTATTAGAACTTGGTCCGATAATAAATCCAAATTTAAATCCAAAATATGACAATAGAGCTGATTGACTAGAGAGAGGATATACTGTGCAACCAAGTTAATAATATATACATATCCAACATATATCTAAATACATCTCATGTAGAGGGTGGGCAGAACCCAGGTATATCAGAGCACTGAAATCATAAAATAAAAAACAAAAAATTCCAATGAATAAAATAAAATACATAAACCAAATATTATAAGGCCGCAACACCTGGGAAAAAGGAATCAAAAACCTAAACTGAAAAAAAGACTAACGTCTCTCCAAAAATGAATTAATTCCCTTGGGTTGTAACGTATCCAATTGTTTAATCCAAAAAGTTTCCCTCTGGAGTAATAATTTTGACCGATCTCCCCCTCTTATTGGGGAGGGTATAACATCAATAGCAATGAACTTAAGCATATGCCAATATATTCATGGCTTGGTTCGAACGAAATCTTGAACATACCTTTTATGTATAAACCTTTGGGACGGCGATGGGAGCGACTATGGCACCTTCATATGCCAATATATGGCACAAATATTCTTATATATTTCAGATTTGTGGACGATATCCTGTTAATTTGGAAAGATACTAAAGAAGAGCTCTGTGACATGGTAACTGATATTAATAATTTACAGACACGTATAAAACTCACTCTTACATTTGATACTACCACCATACAATATCTGGATTGTGGCAAAACCGACCTCGCCACGTGTCCTTGGAGGGGGCTGCTTGCCCGCCTCTTGCCTTTGGACTATGGCCCTGCAGGTTAAACTGTTTATTTTCCCTGCAGAAAGGCTTATTCGTGTGATCTGAGTGCCATTCATCTAATAATGTGCAGTCAGATCCAAGCTATCTGGGGATATGTAGAAATGTGTGTTTTATGTACTAAATGTGTCAGTATGTAATTTTATGTCTTTTACTGTCTTTTTGTCTGCCATGTGGGTAATGGAGTTTGGCTCTGTCTTTGGAGATAATTAGATTCCTTCTCCAATTATCTCCAGGGCAGAAGGGAGGAAGCCAGGATGCATTGTGGGGATGTTTTACTTTTACTGTTTGAGCCAGGGGGAACAAAAGATACTTTTACTAACTTTTGAACCCCTGGTCTGATTCATGCCATTTTTTAATATGTTGTTCCCCTGAATGGATTGATTGTGAATATGTATTTTTATGCGTATGTGATGTATATTTTGGGAGTTATGAATGTTGTGTAAAAACTGTATTTTCCCTACCTATGATAATTGTATTTTCCTGTGTGTACAGATAATTAGTTTACAGGTAGAGGGGAGGGCTATGTGTGGGATGTAACTATTGTGTGATTGGTTAATGTACGTTACTGTGTGTGTCCCTCCCCTTCATGGGAGCACCTAATAAAAAGGGCTGCAAGCTAGCAGCCAGGGAGTTCTATTTTTACCCTCAACTTGAGTCCTGTCTCTTATTGGGGGAATCTGCTACAAGGGATTGCTATGCTAGGCATATTCCCTTGCTACAATCACTGAGCTCTTGTAAGAGCTTGTTCCTGCTTCGTTCTGAAGGGAGATAGCTGCAGCCTGCGGTGCTTATGGTGTCTGGTGGAGTGCTTGGAGTCCTCTGGAAGCGCTAGGAGCATCTTTCAACGGAGGTACCCAGTCGGGGTGCCAGGTGATCCGTTACATGGATGTATCATTATTTAGAACTGAGGAGGGCACTGGTTATACTCTCTACCGTAAGGAGACGGACCGCAATACATTACTCCTAGCCACGAGTTTTCATCCAAAACACTTGATAGAATCGCTTCCCATCTCTCAGTTTATCCGAGTACTACGGTACAATAATGATCCCACCAAAATGGACATACAGTTA